GCCACGCGTTGCGCTGGGTGATCTCCCAGTTGCGCCTCGCAATGATGGCCGAGTGCTGCTGCAGGAGGCGCTTGCGCTCGTTGCGCACTCGCCACTTCTCGCCGTCGGAGCGCGCCAGGGCGACCTTGGCGGCGAAGCCGGTGGTGAACCACTCCGCCGCCTCGCGGCCAATGCCGCCGCGTGTGCTCGCCGCCCACGTCATGAAGTCGTAGTTGTTGGCCGCGCACGCCGCGGCCTTGGCACTCCGCTTCGCCTCCTCGGCGTAGTCGGTGGCGAGGTGCTTGCCTCTCGCCAGCGGGCCCAGCATGCCTTTAGGGAACTTTTTTTCTTCCGCGCGGAGCAATCACCTCTCCAGCAGCTCCCCACGGCCTCTTGCGTCAGCAGCGCGCGACTCTGGCTGTCGATGACTGCACTCCTGGTCTCTGCTACGCTCCCAGCGTCACTCCTCCTGCCGCTCGCGCCGCGGGTAGCACCGCGGTTTACCTGCGACATGTCGGTTGGAGCGAAACACTTCCTTTCCGACCTGGCGCCACACCATCGCATGGGCGGTGCGGCTGCCGCCGAGCGTTCACCGCGAGCCTTGGACTGTAGGAGTTCCTGGGGCCGTGCCGCTTCGTGGTCCAAGGAGAAGGCGCGATACTCGAGGCGGTGGGTGCGTTCGAGGAGCTGCGCGTCTCGGAGACACCCAAGGGTGCGCTCGCCACGGTGTCGGTGGGTGACAGCTTCGAGTGCCATGTCCGCCTCAAGGAGGTTGCTTCCGCGTCGTTCGTCAGCAAGGAGAAGCCGGACGGCAAGGCCCTGCACATCGTCAGGCTGCTTGACAAGGAGGGTGGGCCGCTGCTGTCTGCCATCCTGCACGCCGGCCCCGACGGCTATGAGGACGGGGCCGTGAGCTTCTTCGAGCGCCTGCGCGAGAAGTTCGGCGCGACCGTGGATATCACCGACGACCTCGAGGGAGAGGACTAAGCCGCGCGCAACACGGTTGTCAGTAGCGTCGGCGGCCCGCAAACACACACACATGCACATGCATACACACGCAACACACACACACACACACACACACACACACACACACACACACACACACACACACACACACACACACACACACACACACACACATCGACACATATGAGATATGTCGTTAGATGTACTTTACGTTGTGGTTGGGAGCACGCGAGCATGGCGAGATGCGCATCATCGTCGATGCCGGCGACGTCTTTACGGCGAGCAAGTCCCCTGCCGAGAGTTTGCCTCACATTATGTCTCATGACTTTTGAGCACTTGAGCACTCTCGTGATAGAGCAAGAGGATATATAGGTGGGACCTCTTTCGATCTCGTGTCACAGGGATGACACAAAGACAAACCGAGTCGGAGTGGAACGTGAATACGCTCACACGACACTTCGATCTTCGCGTGTTCGACAACCCGGCCCTGACCGCTGACGGGGGGGCTGCACACAAAAACGCGACCAGAGATAGAGAACAGATTGCGAGCTGCATGTGCCGCATTCGCATGCAAGCTCCGGTACTATGCGAGACATGCGAGACGCGGCGAGAACAGTAGCGAGCGAGGCGGGAGCACGAAGGAGTACTCGGCCGCTAAGGAGTACACAGCGCAAACATCGCACGGTAAGCGGCGCGGCGCGCCGTTGTCAGGCCGCCTCGAGCGGCGCCCGGAAGGGCGATGCGTCAAACAGCAGCTTCGCGCCGGCGCCGTCCGACCAAAACGCGAGCTGTGCGCCGACCTCCTCAACCACGCTCTCGGGCAGCTCGACGAGGCACTCGATCTCGAACCAGATCGCCCCCTCCCGGGCGCTGGTGCCCGCCTCCATCTGAGATGTCACCGCGCCGTGATCCTGCAGCAGCTGCGTGACGGTCAGCACGATGCCCGGCTTCTGAGGGCACTCGATCTTCAGCCGCCTCGTCACGGTGGCGTCCTCCGCCCCGCCGCCCGCGCTCTCGAGCGGCACGACCGAGAGCGACGCGCCCCCGGCGACGTGAGCCTCCAGCGTCTTGGAGAGCGTGGCGGCGGCCGACGCCGGCGTCGCCTCGGGCAGCCACAGCGCCATTAGCAAGGAGTAGTGAGAGCCCAGCACAACCTTCTTGCTCGCCGCGATCGAGCCGCCGGCATCGTACACCGCGGCGGTCAGGTCGCGAATGGCTTGGGCACTGTTCAGGCCCGAGGACGTGATCAGCACATTCGGGGTCGACGCAAGATCCATCCTTTGCTTCGCCGGCGGCGGGCCGCCTAGCCCGTGGGACGCAGCGTCAGCGACGCTGCGGATCTTCGGCGGCGATGAGATGCTCCGCGTCGCGGCGGCTAGCAGACGGCCGCCGCGCGAAGACGCTCGCATCACTCCTCCAGAGAGACGCGGTCGTTTTCTTTTTCTTTCAGCTCGAGGTTCTCGAGGTGAAAGGTGTATTGTTGGCAAACAAGACACAGAGCTCACACAGAATCACAGCGGGAGGAAAGCGGCGAGTCGCAATTCCTGGGGTCCTTGTGTCTCTCCCAGTACGTTAAAAGTACGTACACTACACAAGTGGACAAGTGAGAGAGAGACATGGGCTGCAAGCAACGCGGGTTCCGTGGTCAACGTGCGTTCGACCACACCACCGGCCAAGGCTACGTCAAGTCGCAGCGTGGCCACTACCATGACGGGATCTTCGGCAAACGAAACAAGTTCAACCTGCTTCTCCACGAGACATTCGGCGGCGGCTTCTCGCCGCCTGCAGTTGCAAAGATCAACCGCCTTGCGCGCAAGGCTCAACGCTCGGGCGTTGACCGCACCGCGTACCCTCCCCACTCCCGCCTCTCATTTGTGTCACACCACGCGGAACGCATCTCCATCGCTTCGGTGAAGGGGGTGAACCGTGCCATCCTCGATCGCCGTGCTAAGCTCGCTTCCGAGCTCTCACGCCGCGCGTAGGGCCCCTAGGGGCCTAGAGAACACAACCCCCTCTCTCTTTTCTCCCAGTAAGCTAAAAGTACACAAGTGTGGAAAGCACGTCGTCGTCGTCCGTCCCGGCCGCATCGTCGGCCCATCGTTGACTCTCTACCCCCACCCAACCCGCGGAATGGACACCTCGCAGAAAACCAGTAGCGAGAGCAAGGTGGCCAAGCTGCGTGGCATTGCGGGGATCGCACGGGACGCGAGGGAGACGCTCCGCAAAAGTAGCGAGGCGCGCGGCCACCGCCCAAAGCACCCACCCTTTGCGAGCAGCACACCCGCCTCATCTTCTTGCCCAACTGTTGCCGCAGAAGAGGGATAGTGTTCACGCACTGGGGGGCTGTGCGCAAGTGGCGTTGCTCCTCACGCTGGCGCGCATCGATCTCGACGGCGATGGGGAGCTCGAGGTGAGCGTCGCCACAGCGCTCCCTGCTCCCCTCTCATCTCCCAGCAACCTCGGCTCCATGGACTCGAGCAAGGACCAGCACCAACGCGCGGCCCCTGCCCATGGCCCAGGACAGCGACCTCGATAGTGCACAGCGGCTCGTTGACTCGAGCAAGGACCAGCTCCTCAACACGGGTGTCGTGGCGGCCCTCATCCTCTCGATCATGCGCCCGTTTTGCGTGGGATGTGAGGACACGGTGCTGGCACGTCCATGACGTTCATGACACGTCCTTTAGGTACCCAATGGCGTACGCCGAGGACACCGTGCTCCTCGATATCCATGCGATCTTAGACAGCGACAAGCCGTGGAGGACGTGGGAGGTGGAGGACGTGGCCGACGTGACGTCCTTCCTCGCAGACTTCACCTGCGTCACCCTTTCCGTCCTCTCGGTCATCCTTTCCTCGGTCATGTACACGCAGATGTCCTTTTGGATGCCGTCGCTTGAGGCGCAGCTCTGGTACATTGGGATGTCCGCCACGACAGAGGACATGATCGATGTGTTCAAGGACCTCACCGTAATCTTTGGCCTGCTCACGCTCGGTTGTCAGTGCGCCGTGACCAAGTCGTTCTTGGATCTGATCGCCTTCATCCCGTTCTTGAGCGTTGGCGCGCCGACGCCGTCCGTGGCACTGTCAAACGTCTTCACGATGTAACCACCAGCCCTCTCCTCACCAGGCGCAGCGCTGCTGTATGTGCGGCTAACGCTGACCAAAAAATGCAAAGAGTACCTGCGCACGGAGCTAGACGAGTTCCAAGCCCAGAGCAGCAGCGGCGGCGTTGGGAAGGAGGTCACGGCTGTTGCCACCTGACTACCTTACGCCCACAACGTGACTGGTCGGTGGCGGCAGCTGGGGACATCTCCACATCCTCTCGGGACTCTCGGCGCTCGCAGTCGTGCGCACCCCACTTTCTTATACGCATAGAGAGAGCGGCGGCATGAAGCGCTCTGCTTGCAACGCACTGCGCCGGGGGGCAGGGGGGGCCCAGTCCGCAGTCAACGTCGGGTGACGGGTCACCAGCCGTGCCAGCCCGGTAGAGGCAAGAGGGTAGACAGCGTCCTAATCTGACTGGTGGATTTTGGGCGCGCTGTCTAGCGTACCCCCTGGGGGGGCTGGCCCGCCCGCCCGGCCCGCGCCGTCGCTACGCATACGCACATGCGAACAAAAATAACGCAACACAACGTGTTTGTTACTCTAATAAAAGATTAGAAGTGCGGTGTCGCCGTGTGGAGCTAGACGATGATGCTCCTTCGACTTAGGGAGCGGTTCAGATGCTGGGCGGGCTTCAGGCTGGTGCTCACGCGAAAAGGAATCGACGCGATGTACAAAGCATACAAGAAGGGGAGAAAGAAGAGGAGAGGCGCCAGTGATGACGAAGCAGAACCTAGTGCAGACGAGAGCAGGGCAGACCCCGGGACTTGGGAGGCGGAGCAAACCGCATCGGCCGCCGAGGGAACGTTGGGAAGAGGCACGAGGAGGGCGGCGACTTCGACCGACTATGGAGGACCCGTCGCCAGACGACGCAGGGCAGAAGACGGTGAGGCGGAGCAGACGCGCAGGGTGAGACGAGGGAGGGAGCAGGACTTTGCGGAGATCAGCAGGAGGATGTACGAAGAGATTAGGAGCAGCAGGGACCCAAGGGACCATGTGGAAGACGGCTAGTGCTAGTCCCCCATCGGGAGGACGACCCCGGCTAGTCGCCGACCACACCCACAAAGAACCCTGCACAAAGATCGCAAGGGCGGGGGCCTGTTCCTTTTTACCCATCTCACAGTAGAGAGGTGTCCGTTTTTATTTATTTGGAGCTAGACGCCGTCCCCAACGCCGACCGCGTGCCCCGCTCTTAGCTCAACCTCATTTCTGCCGCTCTACTTTTTCACATCGGCAGCCTCAGCGTGTACTTTTGAGGGACGCGCATCGGCTCGGAGCGGCCGGTCACCTCGTTCTCGTCCTCGAACTCGATCATGTAGTCGCGCCGGTGGGAGGGGTTCGGGTTGCTCTGCGACGGCGGCGTGGCGACGTACGCCTTGTAGAAGCAAGTCGTGTCCGGGTAGAGGGCGAGCACGCTCGAGCCGGCCTTAAACTCGTTGTAGTGCGAGTACGCCGTCGGCTCCTATTCCGAAACACCTCGCCACCCCTCGGCGCGCGGCGAGAGGGGGCGCGCTCGCGCTGCGGGCGTGGCGGCGCCGAGGTCGGGAGGGCGATGACGTACTTGGCGGGGACCTACGACCGGGTCATCCCGCACTACAGCCCGCGGATCAAAGGAGTGCAACCACGGGCTCTGCGCGGGCGCCGTGTGCTGCTTCGAGGCGGCCGGAGCCCCCATCAGCCCGCCCTCGTCCCCGGCGTCGACGTCGAGGACGACGTACCTGGCGCGGGCCGGAGACGGCGCTGTCGGGATCGGGGAGGGGGGGGGGGGTGCGTGCGTGCGTGCGTGCGTGCGCACTTTTGCGTGGACGCGTTGTACCTCTGCACTACGGCGAGGATCCACTCGTCCGCCTGAGAGGTGAGGGAAGGGGAAGAGAGGGGGGGGGGAGGGGAGGGGAGGGTGGGTTAGGCGCCCGGGGAGAGGGGGTTAGCCCTTCCCCAGCCACGCCCGCCAGCCACGCCCGCCCTCTCCCTGCCCCGCCCTCCCCCTGCCCAACCCTCTCCCAGCCCAGCC